TTGGATCATATTTTTATTAGGCTGCTTGAAAAACCAATTTGCTAACGTGTATATCTGATCTGCTGGGGGTGTCGAAGATGCTTGATCCGAAAGAGCGGAGTCTTGGGTCGGTGTCCTAGCAGCCTTTCCTGGTAACGGGATATCATGGGCCGGTAATGTGAGTACTTGGCCTGGTAGCGAGGGATCAGGAGCTGGTAGGGTGGCCGTTGGGGCCACTGGGCCATTTGCAGCTGCTGGAGCCGGATACTTGGCCGGGGTACCTGCTGCCACTTTAGGGCCGAACCAGGCTGCTGGGGTGCCTGAGCCACCTGCGCCCATTTGAGTTCAGCTCTAGGCTGCTGGCGCACCTCTGCAAATTGTAGCTGTTGGAGAGGGGATTCATGCATTTGGATTAAATCCAGCCGCTGGTGTGATGAACCAGGCTCCTCTGGCACCCACAGCTGTTCAGATGGAGAGTAGAACTCTGGGGATACCTGGGACACCTTAGGCACCAGCAGCCGGTTGAGTGGAGAACGGGGCTTCTGTGGTACCTCCAGCTGCCAAAGTGGAGGACTACGCGGCATTGGCACCTGCAAGAGCACCTGTGATGGGCAGGTAGTCTCACTGGGTGGGAAGGTAGGTGGCGGCACCTGGGGCTCCTGTGACTGCCTGGATGAGAAGTTACGCTGCTGTTGGAGCACCTGTACCTGCAAACCAGACTCCGCTTCTTTTAGTGGAGGTTCAGTATGATTAAATGAATACTGGAGATCTGGCAAAGACCTGTTTTGTGCCAGTGTTTCGGCTTCAGGCTGATAATCCACTGTTACTGTTGTGTTGTAGTTACTCTCATTCAAGGTTGAATTATAGTTATCAAGTTTCCCACTGGTCCCTAATGTCTCATTTTTAAAGTAAACGCTTAAATCCAGTTGATCATCCGTATGGGGTAATTCTTGATCTGTGAGAGAACATTGGAATACGTTAGACAAAAATGTTGGTGCATAAAATTATCAAATTTTATTTGCTTACCATTTTCTTGATGACTTTTGACAGCTAGCAAGAACAACAGCAACCATCTAGACATAAAATAGATTATAAGCTTTAATAGTGACATTAAAAATATGTTTGATTTATCTTT